AACTATTTTAAAATTCAAATTCAAAACCATTTTGAAATTTGCAAATTGATCCAAGTTCGAAATTAAAACCAGACCCTTCCAATTTAGAAAATTGCAGAACAGGTCCCTTTTTAAAATTTTGCAAACTGGCCCCATTTCCCTTAATTGCGGGCTGCCCTCCAAATTTCGAAAATTGCAGAGCAACCCTTTATTTAAAATTGTAAAATCACCCCCTTATTCTTTAATTGCAAGTGAGGGCTCGCAATTACAGTAATTGCAGTAGAAGCCCCCGTCTCCACCTTTCTCACCTCGATTTGAAAACCCTAAGAACCCTTTAAGAAATAATAAATAATAAAAAAAAAATTCTTCAATCGAAGATGCCCAACAACCGCAAGAGCCCGCTGCGCGAAAGAGCTGCTGAATGCAGCGGCTGACGCCTCTGTAACAGCGATGTTTGTGGCAACGCCATCCTGATCCATCTATTTTTTTTCCTTTAAAATCAAATTTTATAAAAATTAAGAAAACAAATTTTCTTTAATTGCTAGAAACATGAAAAAGGGATAACAATCAACTTTTGATTGCACAAAAATATTAAACAATTTCTAACAAACACAAAGTATGCTCTGATACCACTGTAGAGAATCTACTTAACGTGTGCAACGAGAAATAAAACAAATTTCAATTCTCACCAGGAATCGTTTTTGTGTTTAGATAGAAATTGTGATAAAAAATGTACCTTTCAAAAATTTTGCAAACCTTTTGCCATTCTTTTCGTTCTAACAATTTCAATATGTCACTCACAACTGTTCAATTTTCAGCCTCAACGGTAATCCACACAGAGAACAAGATTGTAGGATTAGGATTTTCTTCTTGTGATAGCAAGAATAATGAATTCTCTACATATTTGAAAATCCTAGTCATATTTATATAAGTACAAACGGGCTTAACCTGATCCGATCTAATATTTAATTAACTCATTTAATTAAATCTGGTTCGTGAAATTAATTCATTGGATTAATTAATTCATGATTATAAATAAGTAACCCAATTAATTAATTTATTCAACGCTTGTTAAATTAATTAATTGACAAATCACAATATTCCAGTTCTCCTTTTGTGTGCGATCCTTCAAGTTCCCAATCATAATGTCTAACAACGTGAAATATTATTTTGATCGAATCAAAATTGATAAATTAAAACACCTTTTTAATTTATCACCAATTCACACTCGCCGTCCCAAATTGACATCTAGCAATGTGTCAGGGCAATACATGTGACGGAAAATGTCACGCGGTATGACAAAATCAAATTCATTCGTTTCTCGTGAGACTATAATCCATTCGTCAATATGATCCGATCAATTACGAGATGTGGAAGTGTGGCAATCACGATTATCGATCATATCTTTCACTCTACTATTAACTCAATACAAGTCGAAAACTCCTTTTCGACTTATGAATACACCTTGGCCAAAGATTTCGTTATCAACTTAATTGAATGAAATGCATATCATAAACTCTTACTATATAAGAGTGACGAATCCTATATTGATCATTCACAACCTTCATACAATTTTTGACATACCCGAACGATGTCATATTAGTTGCCCTTGACAGAGCAACATCCAACACTATCAAAACATGACTGTCCTCATATAAGATACTATGACGACCTCAAGTCAAATGATCAATCCCATTACCAGACTTGGAAATTAACCACTGACACTCAGATATTTATCCATGTGAAATCTCTCGGTCGGTCTCCAATGCTCCACGTGTTCATTTAAGTGTCACCACACTTTAACTTGTGTGATCAGTTACTTACTTCACAAGTAAGAAATGTCACACGTGATTGTCTACCCGTAATTATCTTGTTATTACTTACGACCACGAACAATTTAAAATTCAAGCATATGTAATTTGTATCTCACAATCACAATTCTTTGTGGTTAACAAATTATCAAGATTTGAATTTACGGTCTCTATTCAATTTAATTGAATATTAATTAAATAGATCCGTCATACAATGCATTAATTATATAATAAAAGTATTTATGTTCAAGGTTGATTGGACATAGGACATAACACTTATATAATCCTTTTAGGAGAAAAATCTATTTAACATGAGAATATCGTTAAGAGATTGAAGCAAGCATGCTCTCGACAAGCAGAGTCCATTCGAGTATTACTTTCATATTGTTCCAAAAAAAATTTCATAATTCAATGCATGGGTGTAATTTTGAAAAATCGTTTCTTCCATATTAAAATACATTGATAGAGCTTTCCAACGGTGCATAGCTCGTCAAAATATGATAATTTTGAGAAATCAATGATTTCTAAGGTTATATAATACAAGTTTCGATGTTTTGAAGAAACTTTTATAACTCAAAGTACGGATGTGATTTTGAAAAATCGTTTCTTTCGGTGAAAGTATACTGATAGAACTTTTCAATGGTGTAGAATTCTTCAAAATATAACGTTAATTTCAAAAATAAGTGATATTTGAATGTTATATAACATGTCTTTCGAGCTATTTGAAGAAAATATTCATTACTCAAAATATGGATGTGATTTAAAAGCTATTGTTTTTGGAATAATGCAAAAGTTGTATAAAATCTAACCTGAAAATCATTTATTATACAAAAATTTTAGATTTTGATGAATCTTATACCATGGGAAATCCCTATAAGTCATATGAAAAAATGGTTTTACATTTCGGAACCCATGAATTGAGTTATAAGGATTTTTCTTGAAACAATGAAAAATCGAATAACATAACCATTAAAAATCACTATTTTTAGAAAACATTTTGATTTTTATGGATTTCACAACCTACTATTTACAGTCATGTAAAAATAAATTGTCTTGCATTCCAGGTTCCAGGTTTTGAGTTATCAAGAATGCGAACAAAACTTGCATAGCATAAACCTTCTAAAATATTAAATAAATAAATTATATTGTTGAATCTAATACCATAGAATGTCCTCAGTCTATTTCAAATTTGTCATTTTGGTACTTGTGTTCAAGCTATACAATGAATTTAAAAACTTATTTTTTCCTACCCTAGTGCAGAAAAATCCTCAGGTCGTAGATTTCTTCCTCTAAGTACCTAGAAATGTAGTTTTATCATCCATTTGATATATTTCAAAAAGTTACAGTTACAAGTTTCATCCTAATGGAAGTTATTCTTGTTATCGGAGAATTCATATTAGGATCAAAGTCTTTTTGTTGTCTATAACATTTTTTCACCAACTTTGTACTTATCGATTATTTCATCTTATTTCATTTTCCTCTTGAAATTTCAACTGTAACCTAGAGGTTTACATTCCAGAGGGAGATCCACTAGCTCCCACGTATGGTTTTGCAAAATTGAAATTATTTTACTTTTAATAGCTTCTTTTCCATTGAGGTCCTTTCCAAAAGCTCGCAACTATTTGGAAGCTTTGAGTTTCACTTTTTAGCCTTATGTCTTGGTTTAATCTCAACTTCCTCTTCTTATTCTTGGTTTCGATTATTATCGGCTATAGTTTCATGTCCTTTTAGAGAAGATTTCTTCCTTTTTATATCTATATATAATACTTGTTTGAAGAACCCCCTTTTTTCTCTCTCTGTGTGTGTGTTTATGCCTGAGATTTTAGACTCTTGCATAAGAAATCGATAGACATTATTATTATGTTCATAGTCAAAGAAAATGCATTTGACAATTTTAGGACTTTTTTTCACCTTCTTTGGTGTGCGTACAACCGCTTTAACAAGACATCGCACTGCCGTAAATTTTTATAGTAAGACTTCCTTCTTTTTGATAACTCCTTTGAACTATTTCTTCTTTCTTTTGAGTAACACTATTTAAAAGGCAATTTATTGACAAAACAACTTCTGCACCACTTGTTTTGGAAAACTTACCAATAATTCATTCATCATTTCTTTTAAGATACAATTTTTTCGTTTTGCAATATCATTTTGCTAAGATGAAAAAAATGTTCTAATTTCATGTGTGGTTGTATTGTGCACAGAATTCAACAAATGATGCTTCATAATCACCATATTAATTACTTCTCAATAGCTTAATTTTTATGTTGAGTAGATTATCAACTTCATGCTTATAAAGAACAAATTCTCTACAAGTTCGTTCTTACTTTTAAATAGATGCATATGACAATAATTTATAGTATCATCGACAAAAGTAATAAAATACTTGTCACCCTTTGTTTGAACAAATTATAAATCACAAATATGTATAAATTAAATTAAGTGGTATAATGTTTTCTTTCAATAGTTTGAAACGATGATCTTGTTTGTCTCAACAAAATTTCGTACTTATATTTAGAATCAACATAAAATGTGGGTATTCAATTAAAGTTAGTTAATTTACGCAATGTATCATAATTAAAATATTCTAGTCTACCACACTATAAATGAATAGACTCAAACAAATAAACAGAAGAATTATTAATTATATTCATCCACGAGTTTAGACTCACAACATTTCACTCTTGGACAAAATATCTTTTTTTGACTCAAAGATCACATAACGTTTATGGCATCTTCATGGAGCACCTAAAGCCATATTTGGTATGCTGGGTATCGAGTATAACTAAACAGCCCAAAGAACAAAATTTCAACTTCGCCTTTTTTCTTAATGATTAATGCTAAGTGTATAGAAGAGGGTTCACAGAACTCCTCCAGATGGGACACATAGGTGGACATCATGTAATTAAAATATTGCCAAAAAAAATCCCACCCACCCCACCTCTTGTATCTAATCTGGTGGGGTTCTGTACGTGTATCATCTTTCTGTTCTTAATACTATCAAGTAATGTATATCAACCTAGCAAACCCCCCCCCCCCGGGGGCCACAAAAAAATAAAATTAAAAAAATAATAATAATGAAAACAACCTGCCTTGTATTAAATCTCCCCAAAAATAATAATAATAATAATAATAATAATAATAATAATAATAAAGAAGAAGAAGATATCTTGACATATACCACCACCACGAACACAAAAATCAATTTCCAAGTAATAAGAAAATTGAAATATTGGATCTATACGATCAACTAATCAAAGCTAATAAAAAAACGTATTTTGGTTTTAATTCGACCAGCCATCACATATTGAAATAGGATATAACTTTGACTCTGCAACTACTAAATGATTTGTTCCAAAGAAAGAATTCTTCAATAGAAAAGAAAGCCAAGATCGGAGCAAATAAAATTCAACAGAACAAAAAAATAAAAATAAAAAAAGGTATGCTATATAGATTTAAAATCGATGACTATGGACACTTGGACCTCAGACCAAGAAACAATCGTGGATGACTACACATTTTACGACTTGCCTTGCAAGAATCAATCCAAGTAATATACCATCTCGAGGGATCTTCATCTGCACAAGTATGAAGAAGAAAAAATTTATATTTTACCTTCATGAGCACAAGTAAATGGAGTTACTTACTAACCCACAAGAAATGGTTTTGCCTTCCGGAATATCATCTCATAATATAACGCAGCCACATTTATACGGCTTCGGGTCGTTTGGATATTTCTTCTCTGTTCCATGAAGAGAGAGATATATTACTTTTTTCTCACTTCTAAATAAAAAATGTTACTTATTTTGAAAGTAACTCTTAATTTAATATCAAAATAAGTAACTTACTTATTTCTAACTAGACCAATAAACGAAGTTAATAAATTATTTATAACTTTAACTCAATATAAGTAACCTTTTAAGCTTCGCCAAACATGCTTTAAATTGGCCAGAAGTTAATGTAGAGGTACTTTTAAGGATTATCAACAAGGAGAATCAGACCTTTCTCCATCAATGGTTGTTGAACAACAACATGCATTATCGTGACTCCTCCGGGAATATCACATAACGGGCTCCTACAGTCCGCCACGGTTCTATTGTTCTCCAGTATTCTTCCTGCGCTGATTAACTTGATGTCTTTTACTGTCCGTGGACCATTTTCTTTCTCTGTTCAAAAGACATATATTAGGATAAGCAGTGAAAAAATAATAAATATGGTACAGGAGCAACAGTAATAACTGTACTGTGTCGTATTTTTCGTGCCAGAGGAGACCCTTAGTAATGCAAGAATTAGCATTTGGATTATGAACAAGCTAATATTGCCAAATCTCTCTCTCTCTCTCTCTCTCTGTGACTTGCTTGTTTTTACTCCATGTTTATTTTTTGTTGAGGTGTGGGGCATAAAGGGGGCGCATGTGCTTTCATGCGGAAATGTTGCAAAGAGGCTTACAAGTTGATGACATACGTGAAAATGCCACCTGTGAATCAGAACATAAATCACTCATTTGCAACACAGTTTAATCAAAGATATTACCTAATACAACAGAAGAAGAAGGGTAGAAAAACCTACCATTTCTATGTGAAAGTTGCTTTCCCAGAAAGAGGAAACGAGAAGTGTATGGAGATTGTAAGTGCATCACGTGAGATGATAAAGAGCACAAAATTCGGAAAGATAGAATCCTGAACTAAAAAAAAAAAATGGCTGTCTTTTGCTTCTAAGTAAAACTGTGTGGAATTTTTGGGACAGTGCGGTTACAGACTCAAATCTTTGGTGCTATGAACTGATTGACTTTCAACAATTTAAACCCACAAATCCACCACACCATTAAACAGCAGGCAATCCAAGATTCTAGTTTATTTTTATTTTATCGGTAGGGACCTGAGAATAAGTGGTAGTGTGGATTTACCTAGGTTCTTAACTTCGCAGGGAGTTCAATATGTACAATACAGATGAAATGCTATTCTTGTTTGTGTTACTGAGTCATATAATGCCTCATTTAGAGCAATTTCTTTCTGCCTTTAAGGGGCTAAATTAACACAATTTTTGGAACAACCACCACCCACACCTGTAGCTATTGGCATTTGAAAGAGTGGCTTATGTTTGCCATAACTATATCATAGTCACTATTGAACCGCCTCATCTTGAAGCTTAAGCTTTATGCAGCCCAATCCAAGAGACATAAAATTTGAAGGAAAAAAAACATATGTGACCAATCTAAGTGACTCAAAATTTTTAAAGAAAAAAACTTATGCACTTTTTTGCTCTAGTTGTTTTGAATTTTTAAGCCACCACTAGACTCCAAAGTAGTTTAAGATGACTATAATAATTGTTTTAATTGAAATCTGACATTAGACAGAAGCATAGTAGTTAGGCCTCAAGTCATATTTTCTTTTTTATCCAAAACTTGTACGTGGAAATGTAGCAAAGAAGCTTACAAGATGATGATATAGTAAAAGTGTGAATCAGGACTTAAATCACTCACTTGCTACACAGTTAAATCAAAGATATTACTTATCTTAAGAAAAAGAAGGAAAATAAAAACGGCTACCATTTCTTTCGTGCAAATAACTTTTCCTGAAAGAAGGAATGGCGTAAAGTGTATGGAGACTCGTATTGTGCAGCACATTATGTGAGATACTAGGAGGCATGAAATCAGGGAAGATAGAATTCTTTTTTTTTTTATTTTTTTATTTTTGGGAAAGGTAGGGAAGATAGAATTCTGAACTTATAAGAAAGGGCCATCTTCTTCTAAGTAAAGCTGTATGGAATTTTTGGGACAGAGTGGTTACTTACTCAAATTTTTGGTCCTATGTAGGAATAGCAATTTGAACCGTCAAAATCGAAAACCGCGGTTATCCGAACCGATGATGCAATGGGACGGATATGGTATTTGATTTTAATTAACCGATTTGGGACAGGGTGGGTATGGTATTTATGCCATCGCCCCAAACCGAACCAATTAACCGTTAGAAAAAATAATAAATTAATAATAATTGGGCTTCCCATAATTTTTTGATTTTTCTATGTTAATTACTTAATTTCTTTGGTCCAAAATTTCTGGCCCGTTAACAAATTATATTTAAACCCAAGTACCCAACCTTGAACCCTAACAATCTAACACAAATGCAATAATGCACAAACGTATTATTGGAAAATTGTAATCTCAACAGCCAACTTCAGAGCTTCTTCCTTCTGGGTCTGCCGAACGTCGAGTCGCCGACTGTCGTCCGTCCGCCTCCGCCCATTTGCAATATTTTCCTCTCCTTCGACCTTCAAGCTTCTACCACTAGTGAGCTTCTCATCTTCTCTTTTGATAATTTGTATTTGTCTATTTGTATTTGTTGTGAATTTCGCACAAGATTTGGCCAAAGTATATCTAGAATTTTCAGTTTTTTACAATTGGTGGCTGCTTTAGAGATAAATGACTTTAATTTCTCTCCTCTTTGATGATTTTTTGCCTAAGGGTCTGGATTTTCTAGTTCTACTAATGGAAATTTTTGGCTTTAGAATTTGAACAGTTATTGAAGAAAATACTGCAAATCTTTATGTTAATTATTTGAGTATCCTTTTCTTTGTATGTTTTCCCCTGTAAGTCACATTGGAGGCATCGTCTTTGACTAAATGGAACACACAAGGCATTACTTTATTCCTAATTTTTCCCCCACCTGTATTGATGTCACCGATCATATATGGAAAAGAGTAAAATCTAAAGATAGTCGACGCGAAAATGCATGAATCGAGCCTAAAATAGCATAGAAAAATTTCACGAATATTTTTCTTTGCTGGAAAACAAAGCTCAAAATTATTCACATCCCTTTACAGTTAGAAAAAAACCTGTTCACTCTCATTCCTATATAATGGCTGGCATCTCAAATATTTCCCATACTTTGAATGTATTCTTGAAATTTTAAACCAATCATTCCTTTATAATGGCTGGCATCTCATTCCTCACTTTTTCACAAATTCAAGAACTCGAGCATAGACTAGCACTGATGAAAACGATAAATAGAAAAAACAATTAATTTTTGTGTCAAGAATTTTCTAGCTATAGTAATACTTGTCACATGTTATTTATTGGAAAGACTGTTAAACTGCAAGGTTTTCTTAAATACAACCTCCATTATGGTCCACGTATATTACAAGTCACGTGTTTTACAAGAGTACCTTATTAGTGACTTAAATAACTCCACCTAATGAAATTAATGAATGCCTAAGTTTTTGAGTTTGTTGATTTGTTTATTTTTCTTGATATTAGATGTCTTGCCAAGGATCGGAATCTTCCGTTCCTACTCCCCCCACTTCAATTGGAAGTGCTTCTGCTTCAACAAGTACACCAGTTACTTCACAAAGTCCAAGTGAGGTAAATGCAAATCCTATTCATATAGATTTAGGTGATGATGAGGAGACGACTGAGGAAAATAGAAAAAGAAAATTGACCTCTTCAATGTGGCAGCATTTTTAGCTTCAGAGAATTAATAACGTGCCCAAAGCAATTTGCAAATAATGCAACAAACAGTCAGGGGGTGAGTCAAAAAATGGGACAAGTCATTTACATGCTCATTTAAATAGATGTCCTCTTCGAGGTCAGAAGGATATCAAACAGATGTTTTTGAATCAATTTAAAGAACCTAGTTGTAGGATTGCAATGGGAGCGTTTAATGTGTGCTCGAGATTGGCTTTGGACTGATATTCACAGTAAGAGTTATTGCTTTATATTTGTTATTCATGCACTTCCTTTTATTGCTAATTTTTTCCTCTTTTGTGTGTAGAAAATTCTGCTCCTGCATCATACTCAGGAGCTTGTGCAAAGTTTGGTGACGAGGATGCTGACGAAGAGATACATTTTTTTGTTTAAATCTTCAGTTAAGAACATTATGGATTATTGATTTATTACTCTACTTACATTCCTTATATATTATATAGGAATCAACTTTGAATTTTAACATATGCTAGTAAGAGTTGTAAGGAAGAATGAAGATTGAATATGAATTGAGGTTGGAGCTTTTTGAGTTATTGAATATTGTTTGTTAAATTTGGATTTTGTATTTGAGAATTGAGATATTTTTTACATTTTCATTTGAGATGTTGTTTGCTACATTAACTTATTGTCATATTTGTGTTTTCATTGACTTTTTTCATACATTTTTCATTTTAATTTGACCGATGGACCAATTAAAAATAATTTATTTTCGTGGTTATTAATGACCCAAACCGAGCCGAACCAAGCTACGAACCGAACTGACTTTCGCGGTTATGGTGCGGTTATGGTATGGCCAAAAAATTCGTGGTTCAGTGATGGTTTTGGCCAAACCGACCCCGAACCGGACCGTTGCCATCTCTATCCTACGAACTGATTGAATTTCAGCATTTCAAACCCGCAAATCTACCATACCATTAAATAGCAGTCAATCCAAGCTAGTTTCTCCCTCTTTTATCTTAGGGACCAGATATTAAATGCTAGTGTGGATTTACCAAGGGGCCTTAACTTAGCAGGGAGTTCAATATGTAAAGTAAAGATCAAATGCTATTCCTGTTTCTATAACAAAGTGCATAATGCCTCATCTATAACACAATTTATTGAACGACACAAATGACACCATGGAGATTGGCATTTTATAGCGTGCCCTTAACACATCATAAACTATATCATAATCACTATTAAACTACCTCACTAAAAGCTTAAGCTATCATATTATAGGGGACTAATTTATGTAAATTGCATCTTTAACAAATCAAATCATGTGCATGCCAAATTCATTTTTCTGCCCACTCTTTTTATCCGTTCAACCTCGTCTAAAAGTTTAAGTTATTACAGAATAAACAAACTTATTGATTTAATAATGTCAACAACAATCACAAATTCCAATCCAACAACTTGGGATCTATAACAAATTAAATATTTACCATCATCAAAACCATTAGATTCATTCAACTTCCTGAAAGCAATATACGTGCATACACAACGGACCACATGCAGTCCAAAGATTTGACTAACCTTTAGGCCATTGAGCTATAATGTTCTCCTTCAAGGTTGCCACACTCGTAGCTGCTGGGAAGTTCTTTGGACCGATATCCGATCCATCAGTCAACCTAAACTTGATCTCCAGCTGATCTTGTGATCCAGACATCTTCAGATTATTCCAAAACTAATTACAAAACCGAAGATCTTCACTTGGCTCTTCCACAGTCTCCAATAGAGTGATCTTTTATGCAAAATTCTTGAATATAAAGATTCAAAGCAAACTCAATCTGGAATCAAGTTACGCGAGGATGAGATTAAATACCAATATAGAGAAAACAAACACACACAGAAACAAGTAATTATGGAAGGAAAATCTTCCAATTAACCCTAATTTCTCCGCCCGTCCCGCCGCAGAAAATCCTCAAGATGGGTTTAGAAGGGGCACATCCAAATCAATCAAAAAGTCAACTAAAGCAACTGAACAAGAAATTACTTAAATCTTGATAAATTTCAATAAAACCCCAAAGTTAAACTCAAAAAAAAAAAAAAAAAGGATAAAGAAATTTACCAGTTTAGACTTACTCGATCTGGGTCCTCCTCCTCTTTTTCCTATTCAAAAGAATTTCCGTTAGTTAATTAAAAAAACCTCAAGGTTAAAAAAGAAGAGGAAGAAGGCGAAGCCCATGCCAGAAAATGAAATACGCACAAGTGAAAAAAGAATAAATAGGAATATTAATTAATTTCAATAAATTTACTTATAAGTAATATTCGGAAGAGGAAAGATACAAGGCTGTTACGGAGATTTCAATCCTGGGAAATGAATGGAATAAATGAAATTTTTTTGGCCTTATTAAGAGGAATCCTCCTAAATCTATGGAAAATTTGACTCTTTTTTTTTTTTTTTTTTTTTATATTTATGGAAAATTTTTCTTTTTTTTTTTTTTTTTTTTTTTTTTTTAAAAAGAACATGCAAAACCTTCAATTTTTCTTGATAAAAATTGCATCTATTTCCCACTTTAACGGGCAGTAGTTAAATTAGTTAGAAGTACACTGTACTCATAGAAACAATTTCGACTTTTCTTTAAAAAGTGAATTATTTATGCTTTTAAAATAAAAATATAGGGTTAGTCAAACTAATTCACTTTGTTCTACTTGATTGTGGACGGTTATTTCTATAGTCAAAGTCGAAATCAATAGTTCAAGAATTGAAAAGTACCTCCTCTTCGCTTCCTCCCTTGAACAAAAATAGAGAGATTGAAATTTATGAATGCCAAAATGTCCCAAGTAAAGCAAATTTAAGTGGCTTCGGATACTTTAAGCATGGTCAAAATGATATGATCTTACTCGGTATAATCCGTCCTATAGTTGGACCACATTTTCGGTTGTAGAGAATTGCCACATGGACATGGTTTTGTCCAAAACGACTTAAAATAAGTACAATAATGAAAATCGAACATTAAACTTTGGTTTCATTGGGCTCCTTTATGAAAGATGATAATATTCTTAGATTTAAGATGTAAACAAAATTTTACTCTCTAACTTATAATTAACGAATCCCAATTTCGACATCAAGATCAAGAGAGTTGCCTCGACTACATCAATCTTGGCTCAATAATCTCGTCGGACAAAAATAAGACCAATGTTATTGGATGATATGCAATGATTTGAGAAAAGATGAAATGAAGTTCCTTACCGATAGGGATTCGTGCTTGTCTAAGAAATGTATAGAAGGTTTAGTAAGAGTTGTCACTTTTGAGCAAACCTCCTACCTCTGTATCACTTCCTCGTTTCGTTAAATATTTATGAAACTTAAACTTTATACAACTTAATAAATTGTCTAGATTTTCATATCAAATCATCAAAAAAAAAATAGATAATAATAATTAATACGGAATATACATTGATCCATTGATTTGAATTTTGAAGATCAACTTGATTCCCTCTTGATTTATCTTCTTGCTTTTATAATTAATATTGTCTTGTTCTTCAATTTAATTGCTTCAATCCCTCTTTCTTGATTCTTGATCGTGGATTTTAAATCTTCATTTTCAATATGTTTTCTATTGTATTCTTGTATTGATGGAATGTCACAAAGAATGATAAGCGCATTTGAATTGGGGACCATAATCTTATTTATAATTTTCATATATATTTTGCTCATCATCAAATACAATTCGAAAGGAAGTGAGACAAGAGCAATGAGTGAAGTGAGCCATTGGGGGATGGCGCACGAACGATGTACTCCTGTTCCGGTGGTAAAGACCGTCGTAGCAGCAGCACTACAAAATAATAATTTCCCAACACCTTTATCATTGAACAATCCAATAGAGGCCTTAACGGGTGATTTGGGCCTTTAGATGCAATTCTACATTAGGCATTAAAGAGAGGCACAGCTGCACGTTAGTTAATTCTCTAGTTGTCATTCGAGTGATAATATAGAATTTAAAAGATATGAATTCTCGTCTAAAATCTAAACATTTATTTTCAATATCAAATGAAAGAATAATTGCAATAAATTAGTTCAACCAATTTTGCAATTATTTCAATACTTAACATTTATGCTTAGCGTGCAAAATCTTAATTATTATTCTGAATCACACATTTTTAAATTAAGAGCACTCACAAGCTCATATGTCACGCTTCTTTAATATTCGATTTGAAAGATAAAGTTGTGATATTCCCTCAAATTTTATTGTTAGCTCCACTAATTTGCTGATAATTCTTAATTATAAAAAAATAATAATAATAAATAAATAAATAAGAATCTATGAGAAAAAGGCAGAAGAGCCAAGCTGTCTTAATTATAATTGGTTTGGCAGCCAATTATTTAAGTAATTAGGAATCTAAACTTTGCCTCGATATATCAGAGCAACCAAATTAATTATTTTCTATGGTTTGTTTGTTTGCCAACTTGACAGACTCCACAGAGAATCATGTCTATTAAATTATCAAACAACTTTTTTTTTCAAATAAAATAAAAAATAAAGTATTTGGAGTGTTATTCTTAATGGAAAAACCTCAAGTTATTGGATTCCCGTGGATGTTTATTTTATTTAAGTCGATATTATTATTTCTGCTTCATCCACTACTGCTCGTGCAAAGGTTTTCATCGTTGACAAAATGCTCTCTTATTCGTACCTTCGTTCCTAATGGATAAATTAGGATTGGACATGGTCCGATTCAATCTAGTTATAACGAGCAATGAATCAGGCCCGAAATTTTTCGGTATTTAGTAAGTGGAATCGTCGGGTCCAAATTTAATTATGAACCATTCGAGTTTGGTTCAGTTCGGTTCCATTCGATTCTCAGATTCCGTATTATAATTAAATTTTTTAATATTTACAAAGTTATATTAATTCAACTAATGATATATTCAATTTTAGCTCTTACAAAAAAAAAATAAAAAAAATAGTTCAATCTAATGCGTCTTTTGCGTCTTTCTTTACTTAGTTCTTCATATATTTGATTGTTAAAATCATAGGAAGATGAAGATAGCGAGCTCCAAATAATTAAAAGAGACGTTGTCGAATTTCAATTTGATTTCTCTAAAACGAAATAAACTACACTACAGTAAAGTAACATATTTGGATAAAAATTTAAGTCAATTTGATTAAATTTGCTTTGAATTGAAAATTAAAAATAAGAAAATCATATTTTTGGGTTTGAGATAAATTAACTAGTTAGAAAATTTATTTAGAAAAATAAAATAATTTGACTTATTTAAAATAAATTAATTAAAAAATTAGGAAAATTCGATTTTTATTCGATTATTCAGTTCTTGATCTAGAATCGAGAACCGAACCGAACTCGTCGATTATCGATTCAAATACCCGTTTGAATATTTAATTTAAAAAGAGCCGCTCGATTCGATTCAAGAGTTCTGTCCAACCTAAGATAAACTTCATGTCATAGCATTGAATTCTCACTAATATTTATACCACTCAAGTTAGACATTTTCATTTCCACTTTATCCACTTGCAAAATGCCCAATTATTTTTTAAATCAACTACTGAGTCTATATATACAAACACGCGCGTCAATCAATACATGTTTAGAATAATAAATCTTTAAGGAAAAAAAGGCACCATATCAAACTAGACGATTTTGGGATTCGATACTAGTTTGATACAGTTCTCATCAAAATCAAACTGAACCAAACCATGTCATCCCCTATTTGGGTCTTTTAATATTATTGTTCTGCTTGTGCAATGTTCTGCCACTCTATGTAAAGAATATTACCGATGTATTACTTGTGAAACCTCAATATAAACGGGCTTATTAGCCAACATGGAAATTGGCACATTAGATACGCCCATTTTCTCCTTATTTAACTATCATAACAGGGAAATTATTACTCCAACAAGTTCCACGAACGAACCATAACACGCCAGCAAAAACATGAGTTATAAAATTTCATCAATAAATAATATGAACGTGTGACAAATACCAACATATAACTTATGTAGCTCCCTAACTCAATCAAGTTCTTTAAAATCTACAAACTAGAATTTCATGAAGATATAAAATCTGAAAAATGGGGAAAACTGGGGACATGGAAATAAAAACTAACAAAAATGGGAACGAAATTGGGGTAAAGAATTCTCTCTATGGACCATGGGTCGAAAGCCGAAGCCTCTCTGCGGCTTGCATCCTAACTCTGTTCCTTTTCACGTCGATTTGCATATCCAGTGGCAATCACAAACGCTTTCTATAATCTGTAAACCATTATTCCCTTGTAAGCAAGACACCATAGGCAACATCCATTGACACCCAAAATAATGTCCTTGGTCCTACCAGAAAAAAATAGATGATGAATTGCTACTTTACAAACTAAAAATGAATCTCATGCCCAGGTGGGTTCGTCTTTGGAATTGGGGATACAGCAGCAAATTAAGAATTCTTGTATATCACCCTTTTTAGCCTGGTCTTGAGTTTATCCGGTTCCTCTCTATTGAATATCAACAAATTTCTATACCTGCCAAACAAACCTTCGAGCAAAACATGTATGCTTCTATCCACCATTTCCTTGGTACACCATTAATTGGTTGATTATTACTCCAACATATGGCAATTTCTAATAAAATCATTAGAGTAGTTAACATACTTGGTCCAGAATGGACGGAGATGCTCAAAGCCGATTTCCAGCCATGGTTTCGACTGGCCATTATAATGAATCACTGCCGCCTTTTTCACATTTTCAATGTCAGTCTTATTCTGATAGCCCAATCCAAGCATGTGCCACGAGGGATCAATAGGATGAACATGATTCCTGAATGCGATCAAAGCAGGAGGCAGAGTTCCAAGCTTCCACAACGTCAGGTTCGACTCCAGATTCTACAACAACCCACAATCTCAGAGTGAGAACAAAAAAAATACTCCAAAAAACTGGATCAAACTCAATCGACTGTCTAGAAAGTTGTATCTGCCTCTTGAAATTTTTAAGTGTAAGAGTCCCTTTTCAAATTATCACTCATAGAAAAGACATAAAATACATTAGTTAAAGAATAAAACAACATTTCAAAGACACGATATCCCCCAAGTAAACATGTAGGCAAACCACACAATTTAACAACATACAAATAGTTGTGGGGTTTGTTAGAGCCAAATAAATTCAAGGGTAAAAATCAAAGCCACGTTGAAGCTTTTTCTATGCTACATAGTAAGCCAAAAGAATACATGTCTACAGACTGCAATGCAATGGCACACAGAGTTAGAATCTTACGAGATATCACAATAATGACATCAATCTGTATAAAACATTTACAACTCTTGCCGATAAAAATGCTGGACCTTCTACTTGTCGACATAGTCCACTTATTCATACTCCAAATTAATGTAAAGCCAGGAATAACCAATGGTCCAATACCAAGCAATTAATAGATTAAGACTGTTGTGAAGAAAGTATAATTAGATTTTACCTCTTTAAGCCACGTGTGATAAGTGTCTCTAATATTTGTCTTTCGCCATGCACGCAAATCAAAGATATTCATCCCATAAGCCCATGCGCATTCATCGGGATTCAAATTTTTTGCTATAAGCAGATGGGAGAAGTTGAAATAAGTCGTAAATCGCTTAGACATCACCCACTCATCTTCACCTTTACAAGTTTCAACAGCTCCATTAACTTTTCCATTAAGATCAATTTCCCAGAGAGGAGACAAATCACGCTGAATTACAACATCATCGTCTAAGAAAACCAACTTGTCAAGATTCGGGAAGAGCTGCACCAAATAGAAATAGAATATTTACAGCAGAGCATACAGAAAAGGACAAATGAAAGGGAGAAAAGAATTTTTTTTTTTATGATATAATAAATTTAAGATGTACGGTAATAAAATAAACAAAAAACTGAGGACAAAAAGAGAACTTACGACACCCACAGAAGGTAAAATCTCGTTCATCCACGATAAACCAAGAGCATAATCCTTGTTAAAATTGCGAGGTTCTATATACTCAATTATGCGTCAAAAATTCTCACTTAGTTTTGAAGGCATCTAAGTCAAGAATTCAAAAGTTGAAGATATACCAACCGAGCTCAATGATTGAGCTCCAATAAATTATAAAGAACATAGAGAAATCCTAGCATGAAATAAAGCCAATTAGCTTTGTGCATAAGGACGGCAATGAAGTGTGTCTCAAATTGCTTATTTAAAGGCATTATGTTCTATCCTCTCCAAGCTCTCAGCTCCCATCGTTAGTTGTCTGGAGGACTTAAACCCCGTACCAATATATTTTACAGATTTATGATGTAGATTCAAATGAAACAGGGTGGGACAAAAAGATGTTGCAGTTTGTCAGATGGCATCAGCATTTACATATTTTACATGTGGATAACATGGATTAGCGCCCAACCATCAGAATCATTTTTTATACATTTCCAAAGCAACGAAAGCATGATAAGACATGCAGGAAATGTACGTCCAATGACAAGATTACCTCCGGGAGATATATACGGAGATGATTGAGCAATGAGATGTATTTTGGACTTCTAGCTTGCAGTTTTGAGGCAAATTTGCGTGGGGTGGTGGTGTCACTAAGATTGGACCCACTGACATGATTTCCATGGTAGTAATTCCGTATGCCATAGTGGTTCTCCACAGCTTCAAGAACTGGAATGTTTTCTCTCGTTAACCAATCAAACTGATGAACACTTTTCACTTCTATTATAGCAGGAGAGACAGGATTGAGGGCGAACCACGAATGCATGCCTGCATATGTTTTCTTGTCAGTTATGACATGGAAAACAATCTTTTCAGGCTTTAGAGATGACTGGACAGCAGATGTGACGACAACTGCAGCAGCCAGAATGTTGTCAGTTGACAATACAAAGTGGTAGTATGAGTTGTCAGAAAGCAAAGGGAGTAATTCTGGTGAAGGCAGCTGTTTGCGTGCATGAGCATTCGAAGAATATTCATCAGTTAGCCTCAAAGAGAAGCAGTGAATGCCCTTTGGAATCGCACTAGCTGCAAAGTGTTTGTTCATTAGCTCTGAAAATTTCAACTCCCTGATCTCCCTTTCAGATCTCTCCATCTGTTGGGCAAAAAGGGCAAATATTATTAAGCTGAACATCACTCGTGAAAAAAAGTTTCTGTATGGTGCAAAGAATTCAAATTAATAATCATATGTACAATGCCATGATTATAATTGTTCTAGTAAAGTACAATAAGCAGTTATGTTTCAAAAACATCAAGACAGACATGGAAATTTTTCTCTAGTTCTTTCTACAATTTTCCCTTGACCCCTTGACCTCTATTCCCTTCTCAGGCTTCCACTCAGCAGATTCTGATGTTTTGGCTTCTTCATATTTCAGAATTTGAAAATAAGTGGACCTATCTGATGAGGGCATTTCTTAAACTGTCCATCGACAACATATTTACACACAAAAGATTGACAACACAGAAGCTGCAACCATGACTTTAAGACATATGGTGAAGAGTACAAGTCAAGCTCACACACAAGAGGAATGAAGATAGATTTTTCTGTTCCTCTCGGAGCAAAAGGCAATGGTTACAAAATTCTTCGTGAAAGGGATTCCACTTTCAAGTCTGTGTCTGTAATGAGAACATGGCCGATAGACCTAATCTGCCTCCAAAAAGAGCATCCTACTCAAATCAATCCCTCAGCATCCCATACACAACCACACCCAGCAACCATTTTCCCCATACTGCATTCTCTCGTCTTTTTATCCATAAATCTTTAGAATTTCCAGAGGAAGAGCAGTTTGCATCTTATCTTTAAGTTAAAAAATTAATCTCACAACTGTTCTTCATAACTTCCAATTCACATATTTTAAGAAAATATCGCCTCAAGAAACCCATTATACTGCAACCAATGGATGTGGGTAGTGGAGTACAAAACTCAATTGCTTATACGATAAATATCGAGAAGAAAACTGGAAAAAGAATAAATTATTGATTCTCACTGAACTTTTAACAACGGTGCAGTCTGGGACACAGTTAATTCAATTTGATGTCAAATAATAGAAAGGCCATAACACAACGATTCCTCTATCACATTATCATAGTCCTACTTCCATCTTTCACATGCCTCAAAATAAGTATTATCAAATAAGTTGTTTCATGTCCTTACTAGGATCTTTAGTCTTGGTGTGATCATGGAAACCAAAAAGTAAAGTTCTAACTAATGGGCAAAATAATTTAGATGGCCTCTGTTTGGTGTCAGGGGAAGGGGAAGGAGGGCTAAACAGACTCTGAAGTATCTTTTTCACAAGCAACACTTGCAAAAACTGGTAAAATATGGGGGCCTTTCTCATAAAAAAGTAAAAAGTTCAAAAATATAATGCTACACATGAGACAAGGGGCACAAGCATATAAATATAAATGAAATTATTAAGAGAAAGCGTTAACATGCAATGCATACCATTGCTTTCAAAATCAAAGCAAAATCTTTTGCACTGTGCTTGTTGTTTTTCATTTCAGAAACAAGTTGACTAAAAGACTCGGGGAGCTTCAAACCATCTGGGACTTTGTCAGAGTTCACTTGATTGAGGATCTTAACAAAATCCTTGACCAACCTCTGCCATAACAGCAACAATAAAAAAGTTTCACTTTATTATTTAAAACATAAGTAATATCTTAAAATCAAGGAAAATGATATGGGCATAATGTAATCAATCAAAGAAATGCAAACTGACTATATATATTTACCCCTGAATCGTCAGCTTGGCCGAGAAGTTTTGGCCCCAACCGTCTTCCTAAACAATCTGAGAATGAAAGAAAAGAATTTAGACCATAAATTCGAACAAGTGCATTAATAGGTAAAATATATAAGGGATTGGACTAAAATCAAAACTTAGATGCAAAATGGGGCAAAATATAAAGAAAAGGGAAGAGGGTGTATAACCATATTGTGATAACAGAAATTTACAGACAATCAGATCAACGGAGATTTTTTATTCCTCCAAATTTACAGACATGTAGGATTCCATGTTACTGAACCGGTACCATGAAATTACATAAACAACATAATCAGATAAACTGATCGTCAGGGCTATGCTGATAGAGACAATGGTAATAGCATGATAGCACCAGTACAAGGAAGTAGCAAAAGATGGCCAAGTAAGCAAAAAAGGTGGATGATGTTGTCAGGCACTGCACATGAAGAATTCAAAAGCATACATGATCTAATCGTTGAAAACTGACCGCTCAAATACGTGGTAGGTTACCTCAAAATTTTCTGAAGCAGACAAGATGTATATCAAATTCAGTCTTCAATGAAGTGAGAGCTCGTCACTATTTTCTTCTAAACATGCACACACAAGCACATACAAAGACACGAGACATTTTAAAACTGGGGCGCTACACAAAAACCTGCTAAAATAATTCAATAAAGAGCATCCAAATAAAACCCATAAAACAAGTACTAGAATCAGCCACTTATGTTTACAAAACACTCTTGATCCATATTAGTAACACTGGAGTAACTGATTTCGTGCAATAAAGAGGCTCCATATGTAAATTTGCTCAAGCTGACAATTTCAGATCCCCCATGTATCGTATTAACTCTATAATTTACAGAGCAAACAAATCACAAAAACTAAGCAATTCCCAACATAACAGAAAGATAAGAAAAGTAGATATTAATCAGCCTAAGCAATAAACATCTCATATCATCGAGATCTAGGTAACCATATTGCCGAACCAATCCTAATAATAACTTGATATAAAGCCAAATTCAATATTTATCGAGGGTGGACTGTACCGAATGAGGAGCACTTGTTGACACCTTCTAGGGTGACGAGGGCTGTAAGAATGAAAACAAAAGGCAACAAGAATGCAAGTATCAAAATGGTGTGGAAGAGCGTGCGGTAAGAGATGTGGCGAGGTGCGACCTTGATCTTCATCAAATCGCCTCCTCCATTGACATTTCCACCACTACTACTCGACGATATCGTTATACTTCTCATGCTAGGTGAGAAGTGCAGATGCATCTTCTTCCTACTCCGCCACTGCTTTTCTCCTGCACCACTTCCCTCTTCCCCTTCTCAAATCAATACAATCAGCTACCTCACCACCACCACCGCTGCTATTTACAATCCCAAAACTAATAATCTTTTCCTCCTTTCGGTCCGTATAATTCTTCAAAAATGATGCGATTCTCAACATCAGATCCGCAGCTAAAAACTTTCAATAATCCTGATTCACCACCGTGCGGTGCCTTCCACCGCATTGGATTACAATTCCCGAACCAAAAAATCCCGCCCAATCTGTTCACCAAATGTTTCCTTTTCTCAATCTAATTCTATATTTATAGGTCTCTATATTATAGAAAACAACTGTAAGGAATCAATCAATTAATGCAAACCAAATAGTCAAGGAATTATCGTAATAGGAAATAATTATATGTATATATTTGCAATAAATTTTGCAGCTTTTATTGGTTGAAATGAATCTCTCCCTCTCTTACGAACGGAAGATTGAATACAATGTAAGTATTTTCGTGTAATTTGTAATATGATTGGCCGACCGTCCGATCTAACAATAAATTTCCTTTTTTTTTTCTTAAATTATTATTAATATACCGAAGTACAAGTAAGAGAAGTATTCCACATATTTTAAACCGTGTTTGTCATGGCGTAAATATTAAGCCCCATTGGGCCCGGCGGCCCGTTAAATTAAATTTTATTTTTTTCTCATGAATTTTCAATCACACAATTTTTCATAAAACCGTATTACGCATAAATCGAAAAAAATTATTCTTTTTCTACCACTCATTTAAAAAAAAAAAACTATTCCACCCATTTTAATTTAAAAAATAGGACCTAAATGGGTGCTAAATTCACGTAATTTTTTGTTTTCAAATTTACACTAGGAAGGAGCATGGTTGAAGAATGGTATAATTAAAAAATGATATTTTGATAAAACTAGTCAACGTTGAAAATGCTTTATAAGCACTGTAAAAGTAATATTTGAATATGTTTGAATGTTAATTAATTTAAAATTAATTTCAAGGAATATATACGTGATAATGAATCTTAAATCATTTATTTAATTTTTAGTTAAGTAAAACACGATGTTAATTATTATATATTGACATGAATAATGAAATGCATGATATTAGAATGCATAAATGAAGATGAATATTAATTAAATTAATGTGAATGTTAATTAATTGAGAATTATAACTGACAATTCGTACATTAATGAAAGTAAACAGGTGAAATAAATATGTCAAATGTACTTTTACATTGATAATAACTAAATAATTAAATAAATTAAATACATATTGAAAAACGAAAAATATAGTATTATTAAAATAATTGAATTACAGTAAGGCAAGAATCATCCAAAAAATGATTCTTACTCAATGTGATATTTAATATATTGTAAATAAGTTATAAAGAATCTTTATCAAACAAAACTCCGTTACTTTTTCACTTTTAAATGATTAAGAAGTTGCACATACATTATTACAATCTTCTTTTTTGATGTCAAATACCATAAGCTACACGCAAATTTTCTTAGGTTCGGCCAGTTATATTTGAGGATTATTTGTTTCCTTCGTTTTCTTATTTTACTGGTTCAAATAAGTAACTTACTTCAACTTAATTAATAAAGACAAATTTTATTTTAAAACTTAATTTTTCTTGTAGTTAAACCTTTTTTCTTTTTTTTTTGCATTGTAAACATTTTAATATGATTGACAAAGTTCTTGATGGAAGAATCTAGGATATTTAGAAAGAATCACAATAATTCTTCAATCCTAAGGAAGTAGCTCCATTGGAATCCAATAAACAATATCAAATACTTGCAAATTTATAATTTTCTGTAAATCATTATTCTTTAAATACCTACACCTTGGGTTTGGTTAGCCGATCGATAATTAGGTGTGGTGCATTTTTTTTTAGCTAAGTAGGGAAAATAATTCTTAATTTTTTTACATTTCGGAGGGTTATAACTGAAAATATCATTGTTTTTGATACATGAGTTCTTATAAGTGACTCAATAGGATATACTGACCTATTTTCTAATTTTTGGGTAACAAATGTTCAGAGCCTCTTTGGAAGTGATTTTGAAAATTGATTTTTTTACTGTTAGGAAAAAAGTGGGGTCTACCTGTAAGAGAAGAAGTCAAATATGACGGCTGGAATAGTGAAATAACGATCAAAAAATTAATTTTTTGAAATGCTCTCTTATTCGTACCTTCGTTCCTAATGGATAAATTAGGATTGGACATGGTCCGATTCAATCTAGTTATAACGAGTGATGAATCAGGCCCGAAATTTTTCGGTATTTAGTAAGTGGAATCGTCGGGTCCAAATTTAATTATGAACCATTCGAGTTTGGTTCAGTTCGGTTCCATTCGATTCTCAGATTCCGTATTATAATTAAATTTTTTAATATTTACAAAGTTATATTAATTCAACTAATGATATATTCAATTTTAGCTCTTACAAAGAAAAAATAAAAAAAATAGTTCAATCTAATGCGTCTTTTGCGTCTTTCTTTACTTAGTTCTTCATATATTTGATTGTTAAAATCATAGGAAGATGAAGATAGCGAGCTCCAAATAATTAAAAGAGACGTTGTCGAATTTCAATTTGATTTCTCTAAAACGAAATAAACTACACTACAGTAAAGTAACATATTTGGATAAAAATTTAAGTCAATTTGATTAAATTTGCTTTGAATTGAAAATTAAAAATAAGAAAATCATATTTTTGGGTTTGAGATAAATTAACTAGTTAGAAAATTTATTTAGAAAAATAAAATAATTTGACTTATTTAAAATAAATTAATTAAAAAATTAGGAAAATTCAATTTTTATTCGATTATTTGATTCTTAATCTAGAATCGAGAATCGAACCAAACTCGTCGATTATTGATTCAAATACCCATTTGAATATTTAACTTAAAAAAAATCGCTCGATTCGATTCAAGAGTTTTGTCCAATCTAAGATAAACTTCATGTCATAGCATTGAATTCTCACTAATATTTACACCACTCAAGTCAGACATTTTCATTTCCACTTTATCCACTTGCAAAATGCCCAATTATTTTTTAAATCAACTACTGAGTCTATATACAAACAAGCGCGTGAATCAATACATGTTTAGAATAATAAATCTTTAAGGAAAAAAAACACCATAACGAACTAGATGATTTTGGGATTCGATACTAGTTTGATCCAGTTCTCATCAAAATCAAACTGAACCAAACCATGTCGACCCCTATTTGGGGCTTTTAATATTATTGTTCTGCTTGTGCAATGTTCTGCCAATTTATGTAAAGAATATTGCCGATGTATTACTTGTGAAACCTCAATATAAAAGGGCTTATTAGCCACATGGAAATTGGCACATTAGATACGCCCATTTTCTCCTTATTTAACTATCATAACAGGGAAATTATTACTCCAACTAGTTCCACGAGCGAACCATAACACACCAGCAAAAACATGAATTATAAAATTTCATCAATAAATAATATGAACGTGTGACAAATACCAACATATAACTTATGTAGCTCCCTAACTCAATCAAGTTCTTTAAAATCTACAAACTAGAATTTCATGAAGATATAAAATCTGCAAAATGGGGCAAAATGGGGACATGGAAATAAAACCTAATAATAAAGAATTCTCTCTATGGACCATGGGTCGAAAGCCGAAGCCTCTCTGGGGCTTGCATCCTAACTCTGTTCCTTTTCGCGTCGATTTGCATATCCAATGGCAATCACAAACGCTTTCTATAATCTGTAAACCATTATTCCCTTGTAAGCAAGACAACATAGGCAACATCCATTGACACCCAAAATAATGTCCTTGGTCCTACCAGAAAAAATAGATGATGAATTGCTACTTTACAAACTAAAAATGAATCTCATGCCCAGGTGGGTTCGTCTATGGAATTGGGGATGCAGCTCCAAATTAAGAATTCTTGTATATCACCCTTTTTAGCCTGGTCTTGAGTTTATCCGGTTCCTCTCTATTGAATATCAACAAATTTCTATGCCTGCCAAACAAACCTTCGAGCAAAACATGTATGCTACCATCTTCTATCCACCATTTCCTTGGTACACCATAAATTGGTTGATTGTTACTCCAACATATGGCAATTTCTAATAAAATCATTAGAGTAGTTAACATACTTGGTCCAGAATGGACGGAGATGCTCAAAGCCGATTTCCAGCCATGGTTTCGACTGGCCATTATAGTGAATCACTGCCGCCTTTTTCACATTTTCAATGTCGGTCTTATTCTGATAGCCCAATCCAAGCATGTGCCACGAGGGATCAATAGGATGAACATGACCCCTGAATGCGATCAAAGCAGGAGGCAGAGTTCCAAGCTTCCACAATGTCAGGTTCGACTCCAGATTCTACAACAACGCACAATCTCAGAGTGAGAACAAAAAAATACTCCAAAAAACTGGATCAAACTCAATGGACTGTCTAGAAAGTTGTATCTGCCTCTTGAAATTTTTAAGTGTAAGAGTCCCTTTTCAAATTATCACTCATAGAAAAGACATAAGATACATTAGTTAAAGAATAAAAACAACATTTCAAAGACACGATATCCCCCAAGTAAACATGTAGGCAAACCACACAATTTAACAACATACAAATAGTTGTGGGTTTGTTAGAGCCAAATAAATTCAAGGGTAAAAATCAAAGCCACGTTGAAGCTTTTTCTATGCTACATAGTAAGCCAAAAGAATACATGTCTACAGACTGCAATGCAATGGCACACAGAGTTAGAATCTTACGAGAAATCACAATAATGACATCAATCTGTATAAAACATTTACAACTCTTGCAGATAAAAATGCTGGACCTTCTACTTGTCGACATAGTCCACTTATTCATACTCCAAATTAATGTAAAGCCAGGAATAACCAATGGTCCAATACCAAGCAATTAATAGATTAAGACTGTTGTGAAGAAAGTATAATTAGATTTTACCTCTTTAAGCCACGTGTGATAAGTGTCTCTAATATTTGTCTTTCGCCATGCACGCAAATCAAAGATATTCATCCCATAAGCCCATGCGCATTCATCGGGATTCAAATTTTTTGCTATAAGCAGATGGGAGAAGTTGAAATAAGTCCTAAATCGCTTAGACATCACCCACTCATCTTCACCTTTACAAGTTTCAACAGCTCCATTAACTTTTCCATTAAGATCAATTTCCCAGAGAGGAGACAAATCACGCTGAATTACAACATCATCGTCTAAGAAAACCAACTTGTCAAGATTCGGGAAGAGCTGCACCAAATAGAAATAGAATATTTACAGCAGAGCATACAGAAAAGGACAAATGAAAGGGAGAAAAGAAATTTTTTTTATGATATAATAAATTTAAGACGTACGGTAATAAAATAAACAGAAAACTGAGGACAAAAAGAGAACTTACGACACCCTCAGGAGGTAAAATCTCGTCCATCCACGATAAACCAAGAACATAATCCTTGTTAAAATTGCGAGGTTCTA